CCCTCCTGTCTCTGCGCTTTTACTCTTTCCCTGGCTTTAGGAGCGTTTGGGCGGCGTCTTTATTGGGCTTGTTCTGCCTGATTTCATTTTGTCATTGCCTTGACGTAACAAAGGCTCGCCTTTACAGGTCCAGCTGGACCGGGTTACACCCCCATCCCCGCCCCTTAGAAAAGGAAAAATCTCCTGAGCATAAGAAACCCCAGCTAGGGGTAGTAGCTCATACTTGCAGTCCCAGCATTTGTGAGCTGGAGAAAAAAGGATCAAGAGTTCAAGGCCAGCTTTAAGTACGTAGTGATTTAGGTCAATCTGAGCTACAGAAGACCTTATGTCAAAAGCATAACATTAAAGAAAAAAAACCTGGTGGTCGGTCGTTGGTAGCGCACGCCCTTAATCCCAGCACTCAGGAGGCAGAGGCAGGCGGATGGCTGTGAGTTCGAGGCCAGCCTGGTCTACAGAGCGATTTCCAGGACAACCTCCAAAACAATACAGAGAAACCCTGTCTTGAAAAACCAAAATAAATAAATAAATAAATAAATAAATAAATAAAATAAAAATAAATAGCCGGGCATTGGTGGCGCACGCCTTTAATCCCAGCACTCCGGTGGATCTGTGTGAGTTCCAGGCCAGCCTGGTCTCGAGAGGGAGTGCCAGGATAGGCTCCAAAGCTACACAGAGAAACCCTGTCTCGGAAAACAAAAACAAACCAAACAAAGCCAAACAAAAACATTGCAAGCAAAAAGTTGGAATGGGATACTTGCAGATTAAAAATGGTTTACAGTGGGTAGGTGAGATAACTTAGCAGGTAAAGGTTCTTGCCACCAAGCTTGTGAACCTGAGTTTGATTCCTGGTACCTATGAGATAGAGTGAGAGAACTCACTCTTAAAGGTTGTCTGTCCTTTGACCTCCAAGCATGCTCTAAGGTTACCCGCACAATAGATACAATTTAAAAATATTTTGCACAATAGCTTAGAGAACTGAGACTGTTACTCAGAGGTAGCATGGGAAAACAAATGCCCAACACATCAAAATGTACACATACACGTACACAAAGAGACTTAACTGAACATAGTGGAACACACCTGTACTCTCAGCACTCAGGAAGCTGAGGCAGGAGGAACCTGATTTCAACACCAGCCAGAACTACATAAGACCCTTTTCCAAAACACAAAAGTGATTGAAACAGAATATAAGACCCCGGTGGAATACATGGTTCATAGGTAAACGTGCCTTCCACTTGCCTTGACATGGTAGAAGAAAACTTACTCCTGTAAACTTGTCCTCTCATTGCCACACTTGTACCATAGTATGTATTGTGTTTGCCCGCACCCCCAAACACTAAGTAAAGTGTAATAAAGATTAAAAGAAAAGAAAAGGAAATACTTGGATACTTGTGCTTTCTTTTCTTTTGTTTTAAAGACAAGCTCTCAAGGGCTGGTGTGGTGAGACCTTTAATCCCAGCACTTGGGTGGCAGAGGCAGGCAGATGTCTGTGAGTTTGAGACTAGCCTTGTTTACTAGGACATAAGACAGACAGGGTTGCACAGTGAGTTTTTTTTCTTCATTGTTATAGTGTTTTTTAAAGATAGGGTCTTAAGTTGCCCAGTCTGGCCTTGTCTTGAACTCTCTGCCATACTTACCAACCTCCCCCTTTGCTTTATTTGTTTTGTTTTTCAAGAAAGGGTTTCTCTGTGTAGTTCTGGTTGTCCTGGAAATCGCTCTGTAGACCAGACTGGCCTCGAACTCACAGATATCCACTACTTCTGTTTCCCGAGTGCTGGGATTAAAGATGTGCACTACCACCTCCAGGCTCCTCACCAAGCCTTTCTTATCTGGTTCTGGGAATTAGACTCAGTGCCTTCTTCATACTAAGTATGTATTCTACCAGCTGAGGTATAACCCACACTCCACAATTGTGCATTTTATTTGGATATTAATTCAGCAAACATATTTAAAGAGATTATGATACTTACGTAGATGGCAATTTGGACTTTAGGGAGCTGATGAGATTAAGGGATTGTGAGATTCTATTTAAATTGTAGTCAAAATTCAAAATTTACCATCAAACATTTTGAAGTCAGTAATTCAGTAGTATGAAGCATGCTCAAATTACTTTGCAACCAGTCTCCAGAATTTTTCATCTTGCAAGTTGAAATTCTTATACAATTTCTATTCTCTTCATGTAAGCTTCTACAAAACATCATTTTACTTAATCTCTATGGGCCTGCTTACTGTAGATACTTACATTTAAGGCTGGGATGCCGCCAATACTACAATAGTAGGTCTCTTGCCTAGCAGGAAGGAGGCCCTAGGTTCAAACCCCAGGCCATGAAGGAGGGGAAATTGGTATAATCATACAGTATTTGCCTTTCTTTCTTTCTTTCTTTCTTTCTTTCTTTCTTTCTTTCTTTCTTTCGTTCTTTCTTTCTTTGACACAGAGTTTCTCTGTGTAGCCTTGGCTGTCCTGGAACTTAATCTGTAGACCAGGCTGACCTCTAATTTAGAGATATGCCTTCCTCTGTCTCTTGAGTGCTGGCATTAAAGTCATGTGCCACCACTACCTTGCCTTTTTAAAATTGTGGTAATGGAATTATTATGTGGCTGTGAGTATAGGTTTTCAAAGAAGTTATTTTATTTTAGAGAGTCACATTGCAATATTGGAGGACAAAATGGAAATATGGTCAGAAATTGCTTCAAATTAATACCAGAAGAGCTAGAGATGGCTTAGTAGTTAAGAGCACTGGTTGCTCTTAAAAAACACCCAGGTTGGATTCCTAGGACTCATGTGGTAGCTCATGCTATCTGTAATTCCAGGCTCAAGGGATCTGACACCCTCTTCTGGACTCTACAGGTACCTGGCAGGTATATGGTGCACAGAAAGGCAGGTAAAACACACATATACATAGAAATACAATAAATCTTTAAAAAATTAGTACCAGTAATGGGGGAATGGTTGGGGATATAAATAAACAAGCCTGTCCTTGGGTTTGTAATTACTGATGCTGACTGACTTTAATTTTATATTTACATTTTTTTTCTGAGACAGGGTCTCACTATGTAGCTCTGGTTGTCCTGAAACTCATTGTATAGAGCAAGCTGACCTCAAACTCACAAAAATTCACCTGTCTCTGCCTCCCTAGTTGTTTGGATTAAAGGTGTGCACCATTATGCTTGGCTTATGATTACTTTTTTTTTAAAAGATTATTTATTTATTTATTATGCATTATATATTCTGCTTCCATGTATATCTGCACACCAGAAGAGGGCACCAGATCTCATAAAGGATGGTTGTGAGCCACCATATGGTTGCTGGGAATTGAACTCAGGACCACTGGAAAAGCAGTCCGTGCTCTTAACCTCTGAGCCATCTCTCCAGCCCTTATGTTTACTTTTTTATGTTCTTTTTTTTTTTTTCTGTAACAATATGTCACACAAGGAAAACTAGCCGGGAATTGACAAACATATTTCTCAAGCTCAGAGTCTGGTCATTTGGTGTGGAATGATGCCCATGTGTGGGATAGCCCTTTTTACTGTGTGGATGTGTCATTATGATTGTGTTAATAAAGAAGCTGACTGCCCAGTATCTGGACAGGTAGAAGTTAGGTGAGACTTGCAAAAAAAAAAAAAAAAAAAAAAAAAAAAAGAGAGAGATCCAGAAGAAGGAGCGAAGCGGTCTCTCAATAGGGAGGAGACATGGAGACGATAAACTTGTACAGAAACAAGATATTGAGCCACATTGCAGAGTATAGATAAGAAATATGGGTTAATTTAAGTAGCAGGGCAGTGGTGGTGCACGACTTTAATAGCAACACTCAGGAGACAGAGGCACGCAGATCTCTGTGAGTTCAAGACCAGCCTAGTCTACAAGAGCTAGTTCCAGGGCAGCCTCCAAAGAAAGCCACAGAGAAACCCTGTCTTGAAAAACAAAAACACAAAAACAAAAACAAACAAACAAACAAAAAAGAAATATGGGTTAATTTAAAATGTAGGAGTTAACTAGTAACATGCCTGAGCTATTGGCTGAGAATTTATAAGAATAAGTCTCAGTCTGGTTATTTGGGAGTGGCTATTGGGACACACAGAAACTCTGCCTACATATGGTGCCCAAACGTCTGGCACCTACATCCACATAAGACCTGAGAAAGCTTTAAAAAAGATACTAAGCACACAAAAATGGAGCCAAAAGTGACTTCCTGATAACTGTGTTTTCTTGGGTAGGCTCTATACTAGTGACAAATGGAGGTGCAGCTCCTTTAAGAGGCAGCTTTCTTGGCTCTGTGCTCCTGTCAAACATAAGCATGGCTCTTTTAAGAGACCCTGATACTGAACATTTAAATGGGGCTTATGAAAAGCAGGCAGTGCACTACTCAGTGACAATGTGGACTCAACAACTTCCTGGAGCTGGGGTGGAAAACCTAGCACCCGCTAGTACATCCACCATGAGGCTAAGATCTCAGGGAACCAAGTGGGGAGGAGCCCCCTGCCAATGCCATGCACCAATGCATACACTAAGCTAAGCCATGCTGGCAACTAACATGCCAGCATGTTAAACACATGTAAATACAGATCTAGATGAAAAAAAAAAAACCTCTAAATGGGTTACAATGTCTTTAAAAATATACATAGGATTGGCAGGGAGAAGAGAAAAAGTATATACAGTCACAGATTAAAAAATAATTTAAAGTAAAATCCTTAAAAAAGAAATAAAGTAATAAAAATATGACAAGCCACATAAAGATGGGAAATACACAGTGAGTCTGGATTCTGTATGTTATTGTGTCATCATTATAGTTTTTGATTGCCAATGAAGGAATGACAGCTGCTAAGATATATTGGGTTGCGGCGTTGGTGGCACATGCCTTTAGTCCCAGCACTCGGGAGGCAGAGGCAGAGGCA